AACTCTTGGTTTCAGCTCAGGTCATGGTCTCGGTGTTCTGCGATAGAGCCCCACATCAGGCTCCCTGCTCAGCAGGGAATCTGCTTGTCTCCCTCTCCTAAGTGAATAAACAAATCTTTAAAAAAATAATCTTAATCTATAAAGTGCTATAATATTATTTTAAAGTAGACTGTGAAAAGGTAAAGATGTGTATTATAAACCATACAACAGTCACTTAAAATGTAAAACACAAAGAAGTTTTTTTCACTTAATATGTTAAAAAAAAAAAAGAGGTAAAATGGAATTTTAAAAACACTCAGCCCAATAGGAGGTGGGAAAAGAAAAGAAAAGCAAATGGAAATGAATGAATAACACATGAGACAAATAGAAAACAAACAAGTTGGATGATTTAACCTTGACCCTCTAAATATTTACATTAAACATAAAGGGTATAAACCATGGATCAGCAAACTATGGCCCATGGGCCAAATACAGCCCATTGTGATTTTTGTTAATAATTGTATTGGAACACAGCCATGCCCATTCATTTATGTGTGGCTTATGCAGCTTTCATACTATAACAGCAGGGTTTAGCAGTTTCAACAGAGACTATATGATCCAAAAGCCTAAAATATTGCCATCTGGCCATTTCAAAAATACTTTGTTGACCATTGGTCTATATACTCCAATTTAAAGCCAGAGATTCTCAAATTGGACTTAAGAAAAGCAGTTAAATGTAATCTGCAAGAAACCCACCTTAAATATAAAAACATTGATGTTAGAAGTGGAAGACAGAAACAGTTATGCCAATAAACATTAATTGTAAGCAAGCTGGAATGGCTAAGATAATATCAGATAAGGCAGACTTCATAACAAGTATTATCACCAGAGATAAAAAAGAATATTTCCTAAGGATAAAGTTATCAATTTGTTAAAAAAATGACATATTTAAATCTGTATGCATCTAATAACAGATTCAAAATATATGAAGAAAAAACAAATAGAACTGAAATGAGAAATGGATTATCTACAATTATAATGGGAGATAACACTCCTTAATCAGTAATTGATAAACAAGATAGACAGAAATTTAGTAAATATAAAGACTTGAACAGCACTATCAACCAACTTGACATAATTGATATTAATGAATATTTTATCCCGAAACAGCAGAATACCCATTCACGTGTTGGCAGAACATTCACCAGTATTGGTTCCAATCAGCATAGTTATCAGTAGCAGATATCTGTAGCTCAAAAGGGTCTTTGGAGTTTACAGACGCCAAGTCTGTGATTTCCTTTCCTCTCTCCGGAAGTTTATAGTTTCCATTGTACAACATGGGAGGAAGCCGAAAGCCTAATTGGTGGTCTGTTGTACCCACTATCATTTCTCTAAAAGTGACTCTTTCCAATTGGGACAATCTCCCTTGAATTTTATGAGGGTTCACAGCATAAGCATATAAACCATCAACACTAATTATACACTCAGCACTGAGAGCAATAAAAGTGGTGCACAACAGTGGCCCAAATAGCCCTACCAGATGGTCACAGCACCTTCTGTAGTAAGCAGTAAACATGACAATATCTCCCTCTCTCTTCCCTTCACCTCCACCAGAGACTGACAAGTAGTCATGCTGTGGTCACTTGGCCTACTTGTCGGCCTATGTGACAAGCCACAGAAACTGCTCGGTTTAGGGGACAAATAAGCCTTACAGTTCGGCCCACTCGGCAGGAAGTTCATGGATGCTCAGGGTCCATGGTAGTCTGCCTGTCCTAACACATAGTAATAAAATAGGTAGGTTTTGATATAAAAACAGATTGACAAATAGATCAATGAAAGAAAAACAGTGAATTCAGAGAAAGACCTTGGATAGGTTAGAATTTAATATATGATAAATATGGAAATATAGCATAACAAATCAAAAGTGGAAGGATAGATTATTTTGTATGTAATATTAAGGAGGAAAACTGAATCCCTAAATACATCGTGTAAAAAAGTAGAATCCAGACAGATTAATGAAAGATAAAATGGAAAATCAATAAAAGAAAATGCAGAATATATATTTGTGATTTAGAGGTAGGGAAGAATTGTCTTTAAAATACTTGAGGAAGGGGCATCTGGGTGGCTCAGTCATTAAGCGTCTGCCTTTGGCTCAGGTCATGATCCTGGGGTCCTAGGCTTGAGCCCCACATCAGACTCCCCACTGAGTGGGGAGCCTGCTTCTCCCTCTCCCTCTGCCTGCTACTCCCCCAGCTTGTGCTCACTCTGTCTCTGTCAAATAAATAAATAAAATCTTAAAAAAATAATAAAATAAAATACTTGAGGAAAAAAAGAAAAAATACTTGAGAAGCACAAATCCTTGGGCAAAAATGTGTTGAATAAACTAACATCAAAATTAAGTATTTTTGTTTAATGAAGAATAGTATGGATAGAGTTAATAGGGAAGTGATAGAGTATAAGAAAAAAATTGCAATATAAAAACTGACTATGCAAAAATATACAAGGAACTCATTTAAGTCCGTAAGAGATAGATAACCCAAGAGAAAAAAATGGGCACACATGTGAATAGGCAATTAAAATAGAACAAACCCCCAAAGAATAAGCAAATCAAAAGATATTCAAATTTAGTAGTAATCATAGAAGAAAATGAAAACAATCATAAAATATTATCTTATCCCTGTTAGTTTGCTTACAACGTAAAACTAGGTGATGCCAATTATTAGTTATGTGAGGATATTGAGGAAATCTCAATCCTGGTGGGAGAAGAATGGTGGAACATTTTCAAGAGCTATCTGTCAGCATTTATTCTAATCAAGTCTACACACCCAGGTAGGTAGGTATGGCCCAGCAAATACACTCCTAGGTATGTAGCCGAAAGAAATTCTCCCATTGATCCACAAGTGACATACATAAAAATACCCGTCGCTATCTTGTTTATTGCAATAGGGATTCAGAGCAATCTGAGTGCCCATCACTGACAGGAGAGTAGACAGTCAATTTTGGTGGATACACATGGAGTTTTATGAAACATTTACAAAGAATGGACTAGATGTTCATGGAGTATCATCGCTGACACTTCAATGCTAAGTAAAAGAAGTAAAATGAGATCTGTGATTTACCGCGACTTCCACAAATTAAAAAACAGTCACACACAAAAAAATCATATACTCAAATAATCAAATATACTTCAAATATAATCAAATAATGCATATAGCATGTATTACAATGTTTGCCAACAGTGAATGGGGAGAATGAAAATTGAAAATGGGGACATATGAGAACAGATGATAGAGATAGATAGATGATAGATGATAGATAGATAGATAGATAGATAGATAGATAGATAGATAGATGATAGATATATAGATAGATAGATAGATAGATAGATAGATAGATAGATAGATAGATAGGAAATAAGTACAAGTAGTTCTTTCGGTCTTGAAATAGTTTGGAATGGCCTCAACTGGAGGTAGCAACATAAGGTAAAGCGTACAGGCAGGAAAGCATAAATCTATAAAAACAAAGACAAATAACCCAATTTGAATAAAACAGAGTGTTTCAAAAGGGGTTGCAGAAGAGAAGCCTGGAAAGGTAAGTTGGTAGCCTGAATTTGGACTATTTTTATTTATTTTGATCTACAAAGTAAGATATAAACTTTACTAATATTTAATATATGGATTGATCCTGGAACTCTAGCTCACAGTTGAAGACATTTGGGATCCATATAGAAGAAAAATTTTAAAAAGCACCAAATTCTCTGTCACTTCTCCTAAAATCTATCCTAAATCTCTTCTGTCTCATGTAGCTAACATCTATGGGCACTTCCTATGGCTCTGTGATGTCATTTCCTTTTGTAGCTATTAGTTCCCTGCAGTGTTGGTATTTTACTCAACCCAGGCTGTCTGATAACAGATGTGATTTCCAGCTGTGTCTATATACCAACCACAGCAGGTTCATTAATAACAATTATTAAGTACTTTATGTTATAAATCGAGCCTGTGGCAATAGAGAAAACCTCCAGTCATTTGTTTTATGGCCTCTTCTCAGAGCTAACTATAAATTCCCATTATCTCAACATTATCAGCCCTGCAAAATGAATCTAAGCATGAGTCATAAATAAAACTACCAAACAGCTCAATCATGCTGGAAAGAACAGAGCATAAATTAACACTTGACGATGTAATGTTATATATGAACTTAAATAATAGCTCAGGCCTTCTTGTCAGCTAATTATGTAAATTATTATTTTTAAGACTTACATTTGTATTTGCATGGTTGGTGCATTCAGTTAGTCATACACTTAGAGTTCAATAAATATGTAGTCCATACATTGCCCTCCCATAACCTAAGAGTTCCTGCTGATGATGTGGGAAGTACAGTGAAAGTGAAGAGAGAAATTTCAACTGAGAAAATATCTCTTAGGACTATAGAGAGCAGGGGGGAATCACATTTTCCCCAAATACTACATTTCATAGGAGAAATCATTACATTTAAGAAGATTAATAAAAAAGGAGCGACAAACTATATGCACTGTGGGTTCCTGGGTGAAAGTCCATATGGATTTTCAGTTAATCGTAAAAATATTTAGTTATCCCTCTGTGTTGGATCCAAGCTGTTGTAAATGATGAAGACAGAACAGAAAGATAAACTGAGCACATGAATTTAATTTTTAAGAGAAAAACAGCTAATAAACACATGAAAAATGTTGAAATTCACTAATAACCATGACATGCAAATTAAAATTATGAGATATTATTTTTCATGTTTTAAAAGCTATTTCCCAGTAGTGGAGAGAAAGCACTGAAATAGGAAATTCGATCCTTTACTGCAAGGCATACAAAGGGGTTCAAACCTGAAAGGCCATTTGTCATATCTACCCAGAGCTCTAAAACTGTCCTTTATACTTTTTAATTGAGGTATAATTAACATACAACATCATGCTAGCTTCGGGTATACAGCAAAATGATTTGATAGTTGTATATATTATGAAATGATCATGACAAGAAGTCTAGTTAACATCCAAAAATATGGAATCCTTCACAAATTTATGTGTCATCCTTGTGCAGGGCCCATGCTGATCTCCTTTGTATCGTTCCAATTTTAGTATATGTGCTGCCAAAATGAACACGGGTGTTCATTACTTTTGATCAGTAATTCCAATTCTGGAAAATTTATCAGTTACAGATATAGTACATGAATGTTAATGATATAGAATTAAAAAAAAGAAATAGCAAATAATAAGGTCCATTATGGAAATGGGAAAATAGCTCAAATAAAGTCTAAAAGGAAATAGTTAAATAATTCATGGCACAACCATATGATGGACTACTGTGTGCCATCCAAAATCATTTTAAGAAGATTATTTAACAGGAAAGTGTTCACAGAACACTTTTAATAGGTTATAAAATGTTATGTATAGCATAATTTCAATTATTAATCATACTATGAAGTTTTTACACACATATATACATGCACCAATAGAGAAGGCTAGAATAAATACCCTAAAATATTAAGTTATTTTTGCATGATGGAACTATGAATACTTTCTATCATCTTAATTTTCTGTATTTTCTAAAATTTCTTTCAGAGAGAGAATTAGTGTACAACAAATCTGGCTAGTAATGATTTCAATTCACAATTTTTCCAGGCCTTCCATAACCTGTATCCAGTAGGTCCCTCCAATCTTGCCTTTCACAAAGTTCAACATAAAACTGGCCAACTCCATTTTCTCACTGCCCCCAAATCACGCTCTGCCTTCCAAACCAACCTTTTTTGTTACATTTCATGTGTACACTCAAAGTGACAAAATTAGCTGAGCAACATTAAAGCTGGAATCTTAACTCAATCTTCTGCTTAGAATCACGTAGAAACAGGAATACCCCAATAGTCAAAGGTAATCACATCCCCTGAAGAAATCTTTTCCTTCCATCCTTTAAAGCATATCAAAAGGATACCCAGTTCATCACCCACAGCCAACCTGCTCAAAGTCCATTGCGCAGCCTCCATATTTCCCTCACACCCTTCTGTCATGCCCACACAAGTGTTCTCACCTTTTCTAATCTTCTTTAAGATTCAGTGGCCCTCTTTGCTATATCCTCTCTTTGTTACATCACATCTTTTGTCTCTTGACCAGTCTCCAGATTGGCAAAGGCAGAACTATGAGAGGGCGAGCCTCAGTTTCCACATCTGTAAAGAAAGTAGAATAATAAACTCTGTCTTACCAATATCATAAATATCTTAAAATTGTAAAGCATTTACATGTTGTGACTATTGTAACTTCTTTTTTTATTAATTTTATTTTATTATGTTATGTTATTCACCATACATTACATCATTAGTTTTTGATGTAGTGTTCCATGATTCATTGTTTGTGTATAACACCCAGCGCTCCATGCAGTACGTGCCCTCTTTAATACCCATCACCAGGCTGAGCCATCCCCCCACTCCCTCCCCTCTAAAACCCTCAGTTTGTTTCTCAGAGTCCATAGTCTCTCATGTTTTGTCTCCCTCTCCGACATCCCCCACTTCATTTTTCCCTTCCTACTATCTTTTTTGCCTTTAACATATAATGTATTATTTATTTCAGAGGTACAGGTCTGTGATTCATCAGTCTTACACAATTCACAGCTCTCACCATAGCACTAAATACCTTAACAGCTTCTTACTGCACTTAGAATAAAATCTTTGATCCTTACCATTGTCCTACAAGTCTCTGCATGGCCCCTTCCTATCTCTCCAGCCAATACCTCAGTGGCTTATGCTTATACCGACTTTATTTCTTTATTATTTCAGCTCTTTCCCACATTTGTAGAGAGCCATTCCATTTGCTCTATTCCACCTGAATAATTTCCAAAGGGGTTCAACTATGTTGAAGCATGTATGTCAAACCGATGTTAGGATTTGACAGGAGTGTATGTGGAGCTGAGGAGTTTCTTAAGATACTCCTAATAGGATAGGAATCATCCAGCTACTGAGATGAGCTCAATCTATTAGCACTGTTCATTGAAATACAAAAATGATTCTGAGAATGCCATGGGTCTATTACTAGCATTTGTTTCATTCTAATCCTACCAACTGGGAGATTTGTGATTTAAAGATTGTTGTGTAAAATCAGTAATTGCTTTTTCTCTTCTGAGAAACTGGTCCACTATATAAAGAAAATAAGTTAGATCCCTACTGTTAGTCACTTGTTCAATATCTATTTCCCTCTTCTTTGCTGATTAAACTTTGATTTTATTTTGGGTGTCACTTTGTCAGGTTAAATTCTTGCTTCTGCTTTCTCCCTAAAAGTTTACAGTGTCCATTGGCAGGCGTATTTATGGTTAATGACACATATTCAAGACATTCCTGGGAAAGATTATGCTTTCTGGGAAAAAAGGATGTATGTACCTGATAAGGCCTTTTCCCTTTCCCATACATTCCTTCCTTGAATGTGGACATAAGGTCTAAACCTCTAACAGCCATCTGGTAACCATGAAATGATAAACATGAAACAAAGGTCAAAAGGTTCACAGAGAAGCTGTCCTGACACCATTAAGCTACTAAACCTACTCTTTCAGATATTTATTTCCAATTCTACATGACCCTTCCCCAATTATTTATGAGACAATCAAATATGTTTGTGAGGTCTAGATAGCTCCTGTGTTTTGGTGTTCAAGGGTCTACTGCTGGTTACAGGACCTCATGGCCCAGTGAAGCCAGAAAGCCCTTGAAGATCCAAAACCATGTGGTGGTTTGTAGTGGGGCAAAGGAGAATATCTATTTCCTTATTATGTTTCATGTTAAGTATAAAATAGTGATTGAGACATTTTTCTGAAATCCTTGTTTTCAAATAAACAGCAATTACAGGGAAGACAGTGTCCAGCTGAGAACAAACTTACTGAATTCTGGAAGCTGAGATTTTAACAGAAGCACATAAGTGAAGGAAGTTTTAGTTTACTCCTCTCAGTCCATGATAGATCAACTGATTGAATATAATCAATAACGATATCAACATCCTAAATAACAAAGAATAAGGTATCTCTAGGTGATATTTATTAAACTTTTTATTCTGAAAAGACATGCTTTATTTTTAAAGTGTCCATGGAACAGTCATACAGATTGGTTCTGAGTCCTAGGTTGTAAGAGGGCTTTAAATAAAAATTAACTGTACAGTTTCACTAAAACTTCTATAGCTACTCTATCCAAAATGGCAGCCACCAGACAGAGGCAGTTATTTAAATTGAAACGAGTTAAAATTAAATTTAAATTTGAATTCCTCAGTCATACTAGCCATATATAGCTATTGGACAGCACAAATATAGAACCATTTCATCACTGCAGAAAGTTCCCTTGAACAGTGTTGCTTTAGGTATGGAGACACAGCTGTATGGCTGGGACATCCCTCAGTATGTAACATATATAACTGATTTGATTTCCACTAGAAAGTAAGCTCCATGAAAGAAGATATTTTTATCAAAGTTATATACTGCTGTATCTCTAATGTCAGGACAGTTGCTTATGTATACCCAGTGATCAACAAATAATTGCTTGGTGAATTCAGAGTTCTCAATTAAGTTAGGTATAATATGCAAAATGTTTTATTCTCAAAATTTCTTGTACTTTTCTTGGCCTTGAACACTCAATCTGCCTAGAGCACATGTCTCATTTTCTTTCCATTCTATTCCTGTTTAAATTTTAGTCCAGTGTAATGACTTCTATATTCTCATTAAAATGGAAAAGCTCAGTCTTTTCCCTCTGGTAGAGTTCTTCCCTATTGTGTTTCTCTCCTTTGTGTCTCCTTTCCTATTCACATGCAACAGTTCACTTCTGACACTTCTGGTCACCAAATATGTGGAGGTTTGTCCCCCACAACTAGCAATTCTTTGCAACACCAGCAATTCAAGTCAATTTTGACACTAGCTACCTGGAAACACTATCAGATCCCACAGGTTAAGAGCTCAGTCCCACAACACTGTCCCCACCCCCCACATACACACTTCAGATGTCAGCCACACATCCAGATTATCAACCATACTTCTGACCAACTGGCTATAGATTGGAGGATCCAAACACTCCTCCTTGAGTTCGATTAATTTGCTAGAGTGACTCACAGAACTCAGGGAAATGCTTACTTACATTTTATCAGTTCTTTAAAAGATACAATCCAAGATACAGATAAACAGCGAGATGAAAAGAAAGATGAAAGACCCAGGAGGGTCCCAAGTATGGGGAGCTTCTGTCCCTGTGGAGGTGGGTTCTGTCGCCCTCCCAGTGCATGGATATGATCACCAACCTGGAAGCTCTCCAAACACCATACTTTTGAGATTCTAAAGAGGCTTCATCACTCAGGCATGATCAATTATTAACTCCATTTCTAGTCTCTCTACCTCTCTGGAGTGGGAGTGGGGCAGAGCTGAAAATTCCAAGCTTCTAATCATGGCTTGGTCTTTCTGGTGACCAGCCCCCATCCAGGTGACATCCAGCACCCACTCAGAGTCACCTCATTAGAACACAAGATGCTCCTAGTGCTCTTATCACTCAGGAATTTACAAGGTTTTTAGGAGCCTTGTGTCAGGAATAGGGTCAAAGACAAATTTTGGAACAAGCAATGTTCCTAGTATCCTTATCACTTAAGAAATTATTGGTGGCTCAGTTGGTTGGGCGACTGCCTTCGGCTCAGGTCATGATCCTGGAGTCCCTGGGTCGAGTCCCGCATCGGGCTTCCTGCTCGGCGGGGGGTCTGCTTCTCCTTCTGATCCTCCCCCACCTCATGTGCTTTCTCTCTCTCTCATTCTTTCTCTCTCAAATAAATAAAATCTTTAAAAAAAAAGAAATTATGAGGATTTCAGGAGCTTTGTGCCAGGAATGGGGGACAGGAATCAATACATGTATTTTCTATTATCCCATACTCATTCATTTACTAAAATCTCAGTCTCATTCAGAAAAATATTCTGTCAAATTCAAATATTATCTTTATAGTTGCCATGGAGTTTTTCTCCAGTCTCGAGGTAGGACACTCTCTCTTGCCCTCCTCCCCCCTCCCTCCCCCTCTCCCTCCTTTCCTCCTTCTGTCTCTCCCTTCCTCCCTCCCTCTCTCTCCTCCTCTCTCTCTCCCTCCCTCTCTCTCTCTCTCTCTTTCTCTTTCTC